AGAAGGAAGTTGCAAAGGAGGTTCATTGATTGAGCCATTAATTACACTTTATTCACCTCAACTACAACTTACTCAATTATTTACCTTTCAAATAAATTCAGAATGAAAACCGTTATTAACCACTACTAACAATATTAAAATTAATAACTTTATGTAGGCTGGTTTTATGTGCTGGTTCTTTGTATGCACTGAATTCTCCAGATTTGGATTGTCGTGTCAGAACTAAGTGTACTTTTCAAGATAGATATTACTAAAATATGTTCTGAAAAGTTTGGTATGTATATTTGTGCGTATATATGTGTATATGAGCAATACAAATATCTGATTTCTCACTTTTCCCAACACTGTAGGTGTTTTAAAATCATACCAACTTAATTATTGGGTAAAGAAGTGTTGGATTAATTTTCGTTTCCCTGCCTGAAGTAAATTCATTTTCATTTTGTTTTTATTAGCCATTCAAATTTCCTCTTCTTTTTTTACTTGCAAAGATTACTATTCATGACATCTACATAATTTTAGATATTCCAATGATGAGCATTTTCAAAGTTATGTGTTTATTATCATTTATATTAAGACAGCAGTTAGCACACAGTGATTTCATGTGTGGTTCCATGGATTTTATTGCTTAGGGCAGGGCTAAAATAATGGTACTTATTCAAAAATTGCAGGTTGTAAGAATTATACTGTAGTACTTAAGGTGTGCCCATGAGCATTTCATAACTTCACTTCCTGAGCCTGCCAACAAACACCTATCAGTGGCATGGTAGTACAGACCATTAATTTTGACCTTAAGACACTGAATTTTCGTGTTTATCTTCTCTTTTTATTGGAAAATGCACTGGAAAATCTACTTTTTTAAAGATTGACAACTGTTTGGCATATGAAGTATGTATAATTTTAGGCATCAGAGCTACCACATCTAATCTAGAAAGTACATTAGAAACTGGTTTGGGGCCTGTTTATGATTTTTGTACTTCTATAGATTCAGTCCTAGATTAGTGGTTAAATATACGGATGTTTGGGGCATCTGGGTGGCTCATTCGGTTAAGCCTACACCACTTGATTTCGGCTCAGGTCATGATCTCAGGGTCCTGACATCCAGCCTTGAGTCACTCCACACTGGGTGGGGTGGGACCTGCTTAAGATTCTCTGTCTCCCTCTCCCTCTGCCCCTATCCCCCTGCTCAGGCATGCATGCTCTCTCTCTTAAAAAAAAAAAAAAAAATTATGGATGTTTAAGTGTAAAAGTAAAGACACTAGTGAAGAATGTAATAGAATCAGTAACATGTCTTTAGATAGGTATGAAGACCAAAATAAAGTATTTCCTAAAGATCCTTTACTAATGTTTACAAGCAGCAAAGAAAGATTAGTGTGGGAAGAACTTTTTTTTTTATTCTTGTTAATCCCCATACATTATTACATCATTAGTTTTAGATGAAGTGTTCCATGATTCATTGTTTGTGCATAACACCCAGTGCTCCATGCAGAATGTGCCCTCCTCAATACCCACCACCAGGCTAACCCATCCTCCCACCCCCCTCCCCTCTAGAACCCTGTTTGTTTTTCAGAGTCCATCGTCTCTCATGGTTCGTCTACCCCTCCCGATTTCCCCCGCTTCATTCTTCCCCTCCCGCTACCTTCTTCTTCTTCTTTTTTTTTTCTTAACATATATTGCATTATTTGTTTCAGAGGTACAGATCTGAGATTCAACAGTCTTGCACAATTCACAGCACTTACCAGAGCACATACCCTCCCCAGTGTCTATCACCCAGTCACCCCATCCCTCCCACCCCACCCCCCACTTCAGCAACCCTCAGTTTGTTTCCTGCAATTAAGAATTCCTCATATCAGTGAGATCATATGATACATATCTTTCTCTGTTTGACTTACTTTACTCAACATAATACCCTCCAGTTCCATCCACGTCGTTGCAAATGGCAAGATCTCATTCCTTTTGATGGCTGCATAATGTTCCATTGTATATATATACCACATCTTCTTTATCCAGTCATCTGTCGATGGACATCTTGGCTCTTTCCACAGTTTGGCTATTGTGGACATTGCTGCTATAAACATCGGGGTGCACGTACCCCTTCGGATCCCTACTTTTGTATCTTTGGGGTAAATACCCAGTAGTGCAATTGCTGGATCATATGGTAGCTCTATTTTCAACTTTTTGAGGAACCTCCATACAGTTTTCCAGAGTGGCTGCACCAGCTTGCATTCTAGTGTGGGAAGAATTTGATTTTTGATAGATTTTTGGATTTTATGAACTGGTGAAGAAAACAAATCTACTTTGTTATGTATTCTAAGATTAGTCACAATGGTCATAATTATTAAATAATCCACAATTGTCATGTTGAAGTACAAAAAATAGAAAGCCTACCAAAATTTTAAAATAGACGGATACTCAAGTGTATGTACAGAGTGACACAGAATGAAAATGCTGAGACTTTAGAATTATGTTTTTAGCATTACAATTAACTTCAGAGTCCAGATCTGCTGAAGCAGTTAGTAAGACATTTATCAAGCCTGCTATCAGGTGACAGGGAGATTCAGGGATATAAAAAACAAAATGATTCATTAAATGCCCATGTCAAATAACAATTCATCTTTTACTTATAGAGATAACCAAATATGTAAAGAAGTAATTATGATTTCTAGTATAAAAGTTGTTAGAATTCACTGCAAAGTGATGAATTCATTCATACTGTGAATTCTTTGCTAATGTGTACAGATAAAGAAAATATAAATGTATTGACAACTTCTCGAGAAACAGTGGTAAGTCCTGGGATCCATGTTTTTGATTAAGCTCATATAATGCTAACGCCATAGCCAGATGAAAGAAAGTAACTAATTACATATATTCAAAAAATTGCCAAAAAGGCAAATCCACCCACTGTTATACTCATGAATAGTCATATTCAAGCCATTGCAAAGTGATACAGGGATTTTAGGAGAAGTATTTCATGAAATTTTAAAAATTATTCATCAGATTAGTTAAAGCCACCCAATACTCACATGTGCCCTCAGATTTGTAAATGAATGATCAACCATTATTCTTTAATATGTGCTTTTTAAGAAACTCACTCCCTATTAATTTATAAAAAGAGCTTCAAGTATTCCTCAGTGAAAAATTCAGGCTTCTAGATGACTTTATGAAAGAGAACTACATCAAAAATTAGGATATTTTACAAAGGTATTTTCTCATTCAAAAACTTAAAATGTCCTAACAGAACTCTAATAGGTGAAGCACTCTGAAGAAAAAAATCCAGCAAAATTGAAGCCATAGAATATACCTTTTAATTATGTCAAGGTGGAAATGTCTCATTGTCTGAGTAATTTGGTACAACTTTATCTAAAGTATGTTGCACTATCTGAAAAACTTGACTGAGTTTTTTCATGATTATTTCCCAAACAATGATAGTAATGAGTGGGTAAGAAAGCTTGTACATCACTTAGTAATTGGATAGTTTCTGAAGAACAATTCTGGAAGATATTTCAAAGGCTTCTTGAAACTAAAAATTATAAAAAACTTATTTTTATTTGGGTTGGAAATATAATGTCCAGTCATATGGGAAATTTATTAAATATACAGGTAAATTGTAGTTCATTGAAGTACTCATCTTCAAAATACTACATCAATCCAAATATTTCTCTAATTACTGACCATAATTCTAAGAAAAATATATTTAGTATTTTCTTGGTAAGTTGAATATATTTAATACTACTTGTATTTTATTTTTATATTGTTTATTTCATAAAATGTTTTTATTTATTTATTTTTTAAAGATTTTATTTATTATTTACTTGAGAGAGAGAATGAGATAGAGAGAGCATGAGAGGGGGGAGGGTCAGAGGGAGAAGCAGACTCCCTGCCGAGCAGGGAGCCCAATGCGGGACTCGATCCCGGGACTCCAGGATCATGACCTGAGCCGAAGGCAGTCACTTAACCAACTGAGCCACCCAGGCGCCCCTGTTTTTATTTATTTTTAAAGTTGCTTCCCTTTATGGCATATGATACTGGATTTTTAACTTCCAATAACAGTAGTTTCCTTTTTTAAATAATTGTTTAAATAACCGTGTAACTGACAGTATACTCTATTAAACCTTTGTATGGCTTATCATTCTTTTCATGTGGGTCTTGATTTAAGCTTTTAAATAAGAATTTGTGTTTGCTTTATATAGGTCTTCCCTTTTATGTTTAATTTATTCCGAAATATTTAATATTTTTTGACCAAAGTTTTTAAGTATCGTCACTATGTTTTTAAACAGATTATTACTGTTACGGTTAAAAGCTATTAATTTCCTTATGCTTATACCAGCCATTTTACCAAAGTCGTTTATTGTAATTTTAAATAAAATCTTCTGAAGTTTTTCAAAGTGTTCAATCATATCTAAAGTTGAAGATGTATTATCTATTCATATTCAACATTATAATAATAACTTTTGGTTTTATTATCCAATTGTATTTAAACTTCCACAAAACATGATTAATAATAATGGTGATAAGAGATAATCTAGTCTCATTCTTGAGTTCAGTGGGTGTGCATTCAGCATTTTATGATTTATTTTGGTATTTTCTATTCTTTATATTGTATTTGTTTAGTTTTTCCTTGTACTAGTTTAAAAATTATTGAAACTAGATAGTGAATTTATCTCATAGCTGTTCTCTAGAGTGTTGACCATATTCGTGTTTTTTCCTTTAATTTTTTAATGTGATGAATTATGATTTAAATTTTCTAATTTTTATCAATTCTTACAGCATAACTAAAATACATTCTATTTTATTCTGATTATTTGTGCACTGTTAGACTTAATTTGCTATATTCTATTCAGAATCTTGCATCAATTTTTATAAATGGCAACAACCTATGGTGTTATACTATTTTAATCAACATTTATTAAGTTATGATAGCTACATAATTTAAAATATATTTCTTTAAAAAAGAATGGGAAGCTTCATCGTTTGTTTATTTTTTTCTGTATATTTTTTCTTAGCTAGATGATTTGAAAAAAATTTATGATCAACTATCCTGGAAGAGAAAAAGTAATGAACAGGAGTATCTGGATGTACTTAATAATTATTATGCCACAGTAAGTTGACCTTTCCCTCCTTCTCCCTAGAGTTCTATTCTCTATTCCTAAATTCTAACTCATGCAAGTAAAAGTAATTTCATTATTATACATGTTTTTTCTTTCTGAGATACAAGACATGTATAAATGATTCTTTTATTCTTTTCTTAAAGAAAAAATCATGGGATATTGAGCTTTCTAATATTGCAAAAGACTTTTCAGATATTTCAATTGCAAATACTCAATTGACAGAAGAAAACAGAAGACTCGAAATTGATATTGAAACTGTAGCAGGTTTAATCAATGACAGGTAATTGTGCAAATACAATTTTTATTTTGATATATCCAATATGTTAAATATAATACATCTCTTCATTTTATCCTCCTGGGGTGGTATGGTGGTGTTTGTGTTTATCATTAGCTTAAATTTTGTTTGTTTCTATTAGCTTTTTTTTTTTTTTTTTTTTTTAGTGTGGGAGCAGGGAGCAGAGGGAGAGGGAGAGAGAGAATCTTAAGTAGGCTCCACTCCCAGAGCAGAGCCTGACACGGGGCTTAATCTAACAACTCTGAAATCATGACCTGAGATGAAATCAAGAGCCGGAGGCTTAACCAACTGAACTACCCAGGTGCCCCTAGATGTTGCTTGGTGTTGCTCTTTAAATCACTCTGAATCCCTTTAGAGATGCCAAAATGGTGAAAAAATGATCTAATAAGGAGTTTTATGCTCACTCCTATCACCTCCTTTTGACATATCCTTTTATACTCAAAGACACTTTAAAATTAAAATATGTTTTGGGGTGCCTGGGTGGCTCAGTCAGTTAAGCGTCTACCTTCGGCTCAGGTCATGATCCCGGGGTCCTGGGATCAAGCCCCACATCAGGCTCCCTGCTCCGTGGGAAGCCTGCTTCTCCCTCTCCCATTCCCCCGCTTGTGTTCCCTCTCTTGCTATGTCTCTCTCTGTCAAATAAATAAATAAAATCCTTAAAAAAAATTAAATTAAATTAAAATATGTTTAATTAAGCTTCTGCTGTCCTTGTCAACCCTCAATTCTTTCTAACAACTGCTAGTTTTCTTAGCTCAGAAACCTACAGGTTTTCTTGCTTCCTTTTTCTGTTTCAATCCTCATATTCAACATGTTAAGAAAATATGTTCCACATGCTAAGTATCTTTTTAACTATCTCATTACTCCACCAGCACCCTGGTACAAGCAATCATCGTATCTTGCATGAACTTATAGTGACTTCCAAAGCTAGTTTACTGCAGTCATTATGCTCTCTTCCTTTTTTTTTTTTTTTTAAATATAATTTGTAAATTTTTTTTTTTACTTTTTTTTTATTCTTATGTTAATCCCCATACATTACAACATTAGTTTTAAATAAAGTGTTCCATGATTCATTGTTTGTGCATAACACCCAGTGCTCCATGCAGAATGTGCCCTCCTCAATACCCACCACCAGGCTAACCCGTCCTCTCACCCCCCTCCCTCTAGAACCCTGTTTGTTTTTCAGAGTCCATTGTCTCTCATGGTTCGTCTACCCCTCTGATTTCCCCCGCTTCATTCTTCCCCTCCCGCTACCTTCTTCTTCTTCTTCTTCTTTTTTTTTTTTTCTTAACATATATTGCATTATTTGTTTCAGAGGTACAGATCTGAGATTCAACAGTCTTGCACAATTCACAGCGCTTACCAGAGCACATACCCTCCCCAGTGTCTATCACCCAATCCCCCCATCCCTCCACCCCACCCCCCACTCCAACAACACTCAGTTTGTTTCCTGCGATTAAGAATTCCTCATATCAGTGAGATCATATGATACATGTCTTTCTCTTTTTGACTTATTTCACTCAACATAATACCCTCCAGTTCCATCCACGTCGTTGCAAATGGCAAGATCTCATTCCTTTTGATGGCTGCATAATATTCCATTGTATATATATACCACATCTTCTTTATCCAGTCATCTGTCGATGGACATCTTGGCTCTTTCCACAGTTTGGCTATTGTGGACATTGCTGCTATAAACATCGGGGTGCACGTACCCCTTCGGATCCCTACTTTTGTATCTTTGGGGTAAATACCCAGTAGTGCAATTGCTGGATCATATGGTAGCTCTATTTTCAACTTTTTGAGGAACCTCCATACAGTTTTCCAGAGCGGCTGCACCAGTTTGCATTCCCACCAACAGTGTAGGAGGGTTCCCCTTTCTCCGCATCCCCGCCAACATCTGTCGTTTCCTGACTTGTTAATTTTAGCCATTCTGACTGGTGTGAGGTGGTATCTCATTGAGGTTTTGATTTGGATTTCCCTGATGCTGCATTATGCTCTCTTTCTAATCCATTATCTGGTAGGTTCATTCTTTCTTTCTCTTTCTTTCTTTCTTTTTTTTTTTTTTTTAAAGATTTATTTATTTATTTATTTGAGAGATTGAGAATGAGAGAGAGCAAGCACATGAGAGGGAGGAGGGTCAGAGGGAGAAGCAGACTCCCTGCCGAGCAGGGAGCCCGATGCGGGACTCGATCCAGGGACTCCAGGATCATGACCTGAGCCGAAGGCATTCGCCTAACCAACTGAGCCACCCAGACGCCCCTCTTTCTTTCTTTCTTTCTTTCTTTCTTTCTTTCTTTCTTTCTTTCTTTCTTTCTTTCTTTCTTTCTTTCTTTCTTTCTTTCTTTTCTTTTCTTTTCTTTTCTTTTCTTTTCTTTCTTCTCTTCCTTCCTTCCTTCCTTCCTTCCATCCTTCTTTCTTCTTTCTTTCTTTCTTTCTTTCTTTCTTTCTTTCTTTCTTTCTTTCTTCCTTCCTTCCTTCCTTCCTTCCTTCCTTCCTTCCTTCCTTCCTTCCTTCCTTCTTCTTTCTTTCTTTCTTTCTTTCTTTCTTTCTTTCTTTCTTTCTTCTTTCTTCTTTCTTTCTTTCTTCTTTCTTTCTTCTTTCTTTCCTTTTTAACATAAGTATGATCATTTCCTCTCCATACCTGCATTAATGTTAACAAGAATGAAGGGACAAAAATGCCTCCTTACTCTCCTACTAGGTCCCTGAATAAGCAGACATACCTGCCTGTGCAGTCTCGTATCACACATGGTTTACCCTTATTTTTTTTTTGTCTCCTTTGCAATTTTTTTAAAATTTTATTTTATTATGTTATGTTAATCACCATACATTACATCATTAGTTTTTGATGTAGTGTTCCATGATTCATTGTTTGCATATAACACCCAGTGCTCCATTCAATATGTACCCTCTTTTAATACCCATCACCAGGTTAACCTTCCCCTCACTCCCCTCCCCTCTAGAACCCTCAGTTTGTTTCTCAGAGTCCATAGTCTCTCATGGTTCGTCTCCCCCTCCTATTCCCCCCCCTTCATTTTTCCCTTCCTACTATCTTATATATTTTTTTAACATATAATGTATTATTTGTTTCAGAGGTACAGGTCTGTGATTCATCAGTCTTACACAATTCACAGCACTCACCATAGCACATACCCTCCCCAGTGTCTATCACCTAGCCACCCCATCTCTCCCACCCCCCACCACTCCAGCAACCCTCAGTTTGTTTCCTGAGATTAAGAATTCCTCCTATCAGTGAGGTCATATGATACATGTCTTTCTCTGATTGACTTATTTTGCTTAGCATAATACCCTCCAGTTCCATCCACATCGTTGCAAATGGCAAGATTTCGGAGTGGTTTTTTTTGATGGCTGCATAATATTCCATTGTATCTATATATACCACATCTTCTTTATCCATTCATCTGTTGATGGACATCTTGGCTCTTCTATAGTTTGGCTATTGTGGACATTACTGCTATAAACATTGGGGTGCACATACCCCTTCAGATTGGTTTACACTTATTATTTGGTTCAAATACAATGGCCTTACTTCATCTTCTCCTATTTTCCTCAGCCCATATGGCATCTTTATGCTATTTCTTTTTCCTATAGTATTTTTCCTGTTCCTTCTTCCCAGCATTTATCCTTAAGACAGTTTAAGAGTCAGTTCTGAGAAGCTTTTCATTGGCTGTCCAGTTAAATCCAATTTCTCTATTATGTGTGTGTCTGGCACACCTACTTTTCTTCATATCTCTTGCCATATTTGGAATTTTGTTTGTGTGAATATTTGACTCTTGTTCACTCCCCTCAAAAAATGAGAAGATCTATGAGGGCGACATAGGTCATGGCCATATTTTCTTCATCAAAAATAGTACCTGACGCATACTATGCTATCCAAAGTTAATTATTGAAGGGAGGGAAAGAGGAAAGAAGGGAAGGAGTAATGATGATATTTGATGATTATATAGGAAGATTGTTAAAATTTCTTAGTGATCATTTTGTCTTTGGAAATGATAGAATGAAACATTTGTAAGATTTATCTGTATGTTGAAAATACTTTTATTATTTTTATTATTATGTTCAATTAGCCAACATGTAGTACATCATTAGTTTTTGATGTAGTGTTCAACGATTCATTAGTTGCATTTAATATGCAGTGCTCATCACAACACATGCCCTCCTTAATACCCATCACCCGGTTACCCCACCCCCCCAACCCCCTCCCTTTTGTAACCCTCAGTTTGTTTCTCTGAGTCCAAAGTCTCTCATGGCTTGTCTCCGTCTCTGATTTCTTTCCATTCAGTTTTCCCTCCCTTCCGCTACGGTCCTCTGCTTTTTAAAAGAGGAACATTGTTTTCCAAAAGATAACTTAAAATTGTACTTGTTAATATTACTACATTTTATTAAGAGAACCAGAGGAGAGAAAAAAATTTGAAGCTAATGAAAAGACTCCTCTGGAAGAAAAGAAGAGAGTGTGAGGTTAGCATTTATTAGATTACACCACAGTAACAAGCAACCACCCCATCTTAGTGGTATACAAGTATAAAAGTTAATCTCTCACTAGCACTGCAACTTAGCTGTGTCTATGCTTCATGGTTTTTTTTTACTTCTGAGATTCAGGGTGAAGGATCAGATCCTTCTAGGACACATTGCTGTGGTAAGCACAAATTCATTAGTGAGATCACTCGATAGCTCTTACCCAGTTTCCACCAGAAGATGATAAGTGTTTCTTCTGCTCACACTCCGTTGAACAAAGCAAGTCATATGGCCAAGCCTGTTGTCAACAGGATGGTAAGTCTAATCCTCTTAAAAAGAGAGACCATGCATAATTGAGAACACTAATACAATTTATAACATGTAGAGGGAATGTAGCCCTGGTTATAGGAAAGGATTTCCATCATATGCATTGCGCTTGTCCAGTTAATACCTTAGATTCATTTAATTACTTAACTTTTCCTTCAAATTTTTACTTGAAATTAAAAAAATAA